TCATTTTCTATTATGTTATTGGTCTTTAAAAAATTTGTTTGTAGTTTTTTTTTCACACATTCTAGATATGTGTTTTTTAATTTATATGTATTGTATAGAAATTTAAAATATGCTATTCTGGCATATTGACTATTTTTAGTTAAAGTCATTTGAAAACAGCAGGTATAAGATCACTCTGACCTTTGTGCTGTTTCTTAAAAGCAGGAGATGACATTCCCATGTCAAACATGTACTCCCTCTACCAAAAGGAAAGAACAATTCTTATCATCAAGGATGGCATGCTGAGACTGAGAACATTCTGCACAGATCTTGTTGAAATATCTGGTACTGTAATCCCAGCTCTTTGGTAGGCCGAGGCAGGCTGATCACTTGAGGTCAAGAGTTCAAGACCAGCCTGGCCAACATGGTGAAATCCCATCTTTACTAAAAATACAAGAATTAGCCAGGCATAATGGTGGGCACCTGTGATCCCAGCTACTTGGGAGGCTGAGGCAGGAGAATTGCTTGAACCTGGGAGGTGGAGGTTGCAGTGAGCTGAGATTGTGCCACTGCACTCTTGCCTAGGGTATGGAGCGAGATTCTGTCTACAATAAAACAAAACAATAAAATAAAATATCTTCTAGCCTTCTCTTATAATTTAGTTACTTTTTTTTTTAACCTTAGTGTTCTTCAATTCAGCATGTGTTCAACTGTTAACTGTATTTTGGGGTCTTCATTTTCTCATGAAGGCTCCTGTGCCACATAGAACTTCTATTAACTTTGTATGATTTTCCCTTGTTGATCTGTCTTATGTCAACTTAATTCTCAGGTCTAGCTGAAAAAAACCCTAAGATGGCAAAAGTCAAATTTTCCCACCCCTACAACTGCAAATATTTTTTCTCTCTCTGTTATTTAGCCTTTTAATCTTACAATAGTGTCTTTTGAATAACAAAAAGTTTCTAATTTAAAAAATTTAACATTATTTCCTTTAAGTACCTTTTAGTTGTGATACTGAAATCTTTTTTTAAATCATCTTTAGAACGTCTTTCTTTACCTTGAAGTCATCAAGAGATGATCTTACATTATTTTCCAAAAGCTATATTTCCCATTCTCTCTTCTTGTTATTCCAACACTACTTTTTCCTCTACTTCCCTGAAACTGTTCTTGTAAATGCCACAAAATTTATATTTCCAACCTCAATCCCTCCTCTGAGCTACAGATATGTATTTGCAACTTTTTTTGAGACGGAGTCTTGCTCTGTCGCCCAGGCTGGAGTGCAGTCGCGTGATCTCCGTTCACTGCAAGCTCCGCCTCCCAGGTTCACACCATCTCCTGCCTCAGCCTCCCATGTAGTTGGGACTACAGGTGCTCGCCACCACGCCTGGCTAATTTTTTTGTATTTTCAGTAGAGACAGGGTTTCACCGTGTTTGCTAGGATGGTCTTGATCTCGTGACCTCGTGATCCGCCGGCCTCGGCCTCCCAAAGTGCTGGGATTACAGGCGTGAGCCACCGCGCCCGGCCTATTTGCAACTTTTTACCTGTTCTCATAGCTTGTACATTTCAAATGTATCAGATTCGGAAAGAAATTCTTGATTCTCTACTCTTCAAACTTGGTTCACTTCCCAGATTTTTCTCTCCATTATTTTCTATTTCAGGACCAAAACTTTAGTCAACTTTGATTTCTCTCTTTTCTTCAGCACCTAAATCTAATCAATCAGAAATTATTATTTTTTTCCTATAGATATTTCCTAAATTTCAACGTTTTCTACCATCTTCACTGCTAGCTCCTTAATTCAAGTCAAGCTCATCCTTTTCCTAGATGACTACAATGGTCTATTGATTAGTTTCACTTTTACTCTTGCCCTCTGGTAGTTCTTTGTAGAGTAGCCCGATTCATCTTTAGAAAATGGAAACTTGATCATATGATTTCCGTCCATATTCTTGTCCTCACATTTAGAATAAAACAAAAACTTATCTATGTAGCCCACATGTCTATTTCTTCAGCCTCACCTAATACCAGTCTCCCTTCATTAATTTTGTTCCAACCACATTGGCTTCTTACTGTTTTCCAAACCCACCAACTTTATAGTTACCTCAGGAACTTTATACTTGCTTTTCCTTTTCTTTTTCTTTTTCTTTTTCTTTTTCTTTTTTTTTTTTTTGAGACAAAATCTCGCTCTGTCGCCCAGGCTGGAGTGCGGTGGCGCGATCTCAGCTCACTACAAGCTCCGCCTCCCGGGTTCACGCCATTCTCCTGCCTCAGCCTCCCGAGTAGCTGGGACTACAGGCGCCCGCCACCATGCCCGGCTAACTTTTTTTATTTAGTAGAGACAGGTTTCACCGTGTTAGCCAGGATGGTCTCAATCTCCTGACCACGTGACCCGCCCGTCTCGGCCTCCCAAAGTGCTGGGATTACAGGCTTGAGCCACCGCGCCCGGCCTATACTTGCTTTTTCTTTTGCCTGTCTTGCTCTTTCCCAGAATTCAGTTTGACTGGCCTAGAATAGTATCTGGCACATGGCAAGTGAGCAAAAACTATTGATAAATAAATAAATGGATGGATAAAAAAACGAATGAATGGATAGATGCATAAAATTTGCAGAAAAATCTCTTTCTGAACATGTCAACCATCTTAAAAATGATCTTAATTGATTCAGGTGGTAAAAGTATAGTTTTCTTGTATAGATGTATTGAGCAGTGGTGAAGTCTTGGCTTGTCGTGCACCCATCACCTGAATTGTGAAAATTGTAACCAACAGGTACTTTTTCAATCCTTACCCACCTCTCCCTTTGAATCCCCAGTGTCTATTATTCCCCATTATGTCCATATGTACCCATTGTTTAGCTCTCACTTGTAAGTAAGAACATGTGTCAACAGATTTTTATTGCACTGGTAATTTCAGTATAACTTGTATGATTGTAGGTAGGTTAAATGGAATGGCATTCGTGGAAAATGCCCTGTTTGTTTTCTGAATCATCTCCTCAATTTCATTTGGTTGCCTTTTTCTCCAAAATGGATTGTTACTTAATTCACATTGTGATTGGTTTGATTTCTTTAGGTGATTTGTTTCATAGTTGTGTACCAGATTAAACAAACTAACAAATCGATATCCAAACTCTGAAATTCCTCTTTCTCTCAGAGATCTTATGATCCTCAGAACTGCTATGGGTAGCATCTTAGACTGTGTAGCAGTCTTTGGAATAATCTGATTTTAAGCCCAACTCATTACAGAAATTTTTTGAAACATTTCCGCAAAATATCACCACAGGTGATTATCCGGCTTCTGCTTAAAAATCTCCCATGATTTAAAAAATGCTCCCATGGAAATGAATCTCTTTCTTCAAATGACAACTGCTTCCTTTATAAATAACCCACCAAGCCTGATGCTGTGGTGCGTGCCTATAGTCCCAGCTACTTGGGAGACTGAGGCAGGAGGATCACCTGAGTCTAAGAATTTGAGGCTGTAGTATGCTATAATTGCACCTGTGAATAGCCACTGTACTCCAGCCTGGATAATATAGTGAGATCTTGTCTCTAAATTTAAAAAAAAAAAAAAAAAAAAAAAAAAGAAATGAAATGAAACACAAGAAATAGAGAAGGAAATAACCTGTCTCCCCTACAGAAGATTAATCAAACTGACTGTTTTGAAATGAAAAGGACTAGGTTTGATATCTGGATTATGTAGACATGTAATAAATATAAAGGGAAAAATCTATTTTTGGTCTCATTGAACGATTTCATATTTAGCAAGTTAGAAATAAAAAGAAAGTGAGTTGTGTAAACTGGAGCTTGTGAAGGATTTAGATTCATAATCTGAGAAGTTCTTAGTTTCCTTTTCCCTAACCTCAGGGAAATCATCATGGTTTATGGCAAATTGCTGCTCTGAAAGGCTCAGTTTTGATTTTGTTATAAATTAAATATATTTTTTATTAGTCTTCTATCACCTTCCCATTCTTTTATTGTCTGGTAGAAATGTTGTACTCTTTATCATTTCATCCTTTATGTTATATTGCATAATGTGTTTTTCAACATCACTATTCTCTGTGTGTCTTACGGGCAAGTGTTATGTCTTATTTGTCTTTGTTTCTTTGGTTAGCAGAGAACCTCAAACATAGTAGGATTCAATACATTTATTAAAGGAACAGTTTACTCTCTGTAATTAAGACATCCAATTAGTGCAATAAGTAGTCAACTGTTTGCGCTAAACTTTCTTGAATAATTCTCTTTTCATTAGTTCTGTTCACTATTTTAGGAGGATTCAGTTTTAGTGCCAAATATTCACTTTGTTTGACACATTTTTTAATTGATTAGTATGTGTGCTTTTAAGAATTGATTAGTATGTATGCTGAACAGGATTTTCCCTGTTCAAAAAGTCTTTCTACAACTGAATTAGGGTGCTAGAAAGTTTCTTCCAGAGCTCCCAGAATGACTTTTTAAGCACTGAAAGTATTTATAAATCACCACTCCTCTGTAACTACTCAAATTACTTTCATAAAGCCACACATGTCAGAAAAATTGAATTTATCAGTACATAAAAAAAGCTCTTAAAATAAATGCTCCCCTAGTTTTCAAATATCTTTTCACAAAATATGCATATTATGCTAAATAAGTTTTTATTGTTTTCAATAAATAATTGAATTTGCTCTATTTTCTGCTAAATAATCATCTCCTTTTATATAGCTTTCAATACATAAGAATAAACACAAATATGTTTGCTATTATATGAGGGCAGCTGCGCACACAAACACACAAACACACAAACACACTCAAGCACAAAGACTCCCTTCCCTTGAGGTTTACTCTAAATTACCAGTTCAATGTTGTCTTCACAGGGTGCAGCTGAGGAGTGTCAAGCTGGACGCTTGCCTCAATTACAGCGCTTGGTTAAAAGGTAGCAGAAAGTGCCAGGCCTTTACTAGAGTATAGGTGGCAGTTCTTTCATTGCAGAACCAATTAAATAAATGCTTTTGAATTGTCCTTCGAAAGTCATAACTTCCATAAACAATTAGGCAGGGAAATTATTTTGAAAGAATTTATTTGAAATAAAGTATAGCAAAGATGTCTTTGTACATTTCGCCAAGAGTTGGTTGCATTTTCAACTCCCCTTCCCTTAAAGCAGATGGCTTTAACGTAGGTATTTTCACAATTTTACATCAGGAAATGCAAGAAGTTTTCAGCAAATGTATGGAGCAGTCCTGACGTCCAGATGTAGGGAGTTAGCTTCTAGAAGGAGGAAGCCCTGACGCGTAGATGATCATGCATAGGCAAACTTTAGCTGCACTAGGAGCTCATAAAAACTCAGGAATATTAATGATTCAGACTACATAGATTTTTGTGCCATTACATTTTAGTGGATTTAATTTACATTATATTCTTTGGTGGGGGAGGCATGTATATGAGAAGGGGAGAGAGAGAGAGAAAGAGAAAATGAGAGAGGAAGAGTGAAAAAGTTTTTTCTGTCTTCAAGATCATTCTACTGATACTAAGCTTTTAAACTTTTCCTTTGCAAACCAACTCTTCTCCCTCTTTAAACTTTCAATTCATTACTTAGATTTAGCATTTGAAGACCATTTTACTCTCAAAAATATAACTGCCAGTGATAGGAAGTCTGTAGTGGGAAATTCTTCCTGATGATTAAATTTTTCATTCTTAAAAATATTATTATTTTGTTGTTAAAAAGTACTATGTATTTGTAAAGCACCTGAGAAGGTTGTGTAGGTATATTTCTTAACTTCTCTGTAAAGTAGATATAGTCTCTCCGTTAGGTAGATGAAGGATATTTTTCATGGGTCATCATGAAAAATATCTACAATTATTTGGGTCTCAGTTGAGGAGTGAACTATTTTACCTTTTGCCTTAAATAGCTGAAAATTATCCACTAATTCCTATGGGAGCATGTTCGTACAGAATAATTAAGATTAGGTTATATATAGTACAACAGTTTCACATTTTTAATTTTAGGACTCATACTGACTATAAGATATTGAGTAACCAAATATTTTAAATACATATTATTTCTCTTGCCTCATACTGTTCTTTTTGTCCTGAATATTATTCCATCACTTTTTCCTTTGCATGTTTCCACATTTTGCTTGCTTCTCATCCTCAGTGAAACCCTCAGAGAAGACCCCTCTGACCCATTAGACCTGTGCAGATTCCTCTACTATACATGCTCAAGGTTCCTGTTTTTCTCACTACTAGTATTTAGCGCAACTGTAATGAAATTGTTCACTTTGTAGTGAGTTTAGTGTGTTTTTTCTGTTACACAGCCACAGTACTATGCAACATTCATATAGTTCTCTGGAGAAAATAGAAAACCTTTAATAATAAAGAAAGATTAAACAGTGTTTGTTAAACCATGTTTATGTAACAAGTTGTTAAATTAGGACATTTCCAGTTTCTTTTTCGGTTGAAATGTAAAGCTTTGGAATTTAAGACAGGCACACCCGCATACAGACTTTGCAACAGGGATGCACTTGGTGCACTAGATCCCAGTTCGTTGCCTAATCCAGTCTCGGTAGGTTGTCACTCGGGTATACACTCCTGGCCTATCTGGCAGGCCACACTGATCTCCCCAGCTTACTATCCCCACAAGAAACCAAAGCCGCCGTGAGTCTTCCTGTACTAGGGGGCCACCAGAGTCACCCTGTAAAAAAACAGAATGACTTATTACTTAAGTGCAAAGACAAACCCAAAATATTAAGGAGTTTATTTCTATGGCAGTCGAGGAAGGAGTCACATCCATTATATGAATAAAGTCAGCCTATTTCCTTTTGAAATATTATACCAAGTCGTGGAAAAATCACTGAAATCCTCAAAGTACCCGAGTTGTTCCTTCAGCAAGTCTGAGAAGATAACAAATACATTTTTCAGATTTCCCTCAGTCACTGCGTGGTTGCCTCCTACTCATCCAGGCTTTCTCTCCTTCAGGAAGACTTCTCTAAGCAACCTTTTTCCTTCCCACTCTCACCCTTTCCAGCTTTGGGCTCAGTTGTTCTTCACTGTGTCCTTACATCTTGTGTGTGTCTCTGTCACTGCTCCACTACTTTATAAAAGCACATTTGTGCATTTGTGTGCCTATTTACACTTAATCCCATTGGTCAGTTTTTTGTTTGTTTTGTTTTGTTTTTGATATAGCAGCTGCATGCCTCTGAAACACTCACTTGCATTTATTATATTTGTTCAATGTCTATTTTCCCAGATATACTGTAAGGTCCAACAGGAAAGAAAACATACCTATTCTGTACACTGCTGAAACCGAAGCTTCTAGCCCTTAGGAGATGTTTGTTGAATGAATGAGTTCCAGGAAGTCTCACTTATCTTCCTAACCTTAGCACACTACATGGTGTCTGATGCATAGTATATCATCAAAAAGTCTTCTTTTGGTGAAGAAATGTATATAGTCATAAGCAAAACACTCCTAATGAGATACTTACCACCCAGTCATAATAATGAACCAACAAACCAACAAACATTTGTGCACATAATAATCTAGTTGGGGAGACATATTGAGTATGTCTTACATTCTGGGTTTAAGTCCTCCACTTACCAGCTATGTGACCTTTGATAATCTGGTGAATAGCTCTCTGTACCTCTGTTTCCTCTTATAATGTTTGTATGAGTTTAAAACTCAACGCGCTTTGAGTACAGCTTAGCATATAGTATAGTCAGTACTAACAAAAGTCAGCTATTATTACCAAGTGTGCTTCTAAATTAGTCAGCTATTCATTGGCTGTTCTTAGTAGCTAGCTCATCCATACCTGTTTAATTACTGGTCTAGATGGGGAGAAGAGTCAGTGTGTGAAGTGCCAGTATGCATGGCAAATACTTCATGAAGCTGGTTGTCATCTGCTTCTTTTATATGACATATGCATGCTTCAGTTAACCAGTTCTCAGTACTTTCTATTACTGTTTTTCTATAGTGAGAAATTATTTTGCATGATGTCTGACCAAATGTGGGCAAGTAAATGTTAAAGTAAGAGGGACTTGTAATTTTTCCATATCTAGCCAGCTTCATTGCCTGACTGCAGACATTAGAATTTGTGTCCTGTCTTGTAGACCATAGGCTTGCTGAATGCAGGGATAGTATTGTTGTGCTAACATAATGTCTGGTGCATAGAAAGTAATTAATATAATTCCTTTGAATTAATGAATGTAAAAATGAACAAAAGAATGGACAAAACAAATAAGATCTTTTAAGTTCTTATGTAAAGTGCTGTGTTCTTTTTTTTTTTTTTTTTTTTTTTTGAAGTGTGGACTATGCATTATAGTATTTCAGTTAAAAATCAGTGAGGCCTAGAGTGGAATACACATGGACGGTATCATGATGAGTTATGGCTTGAACTGGGCTTGAAGGAAGAGAATAATTTGTATGCACCGAGGGACAGAAGGTAAGGCCATTATAAATGGGAAAATAATGAATAACACCCTTTTAAAACTCATGCTTATTTTTAAGTCTTAATTAATGCTCTCAGTAGGTCTGGAGTTGTCAGTGTGGAGGTGTGTTGCTTATTTGATTGATGGGTTCTTTGGAAAGCTATCATGAAACTTGAGAATTTGTTGTTTCAGGGCTAGTAGTAACAGAGAAACAGGAAGGAGAGCAAGAAGGATTTCCTACTACAGAGACATCTCCACTGAAAGGAGATAAAGGACTGGGTAATTAACAGTATCTTGACAATTGAAAAACAAATCTCCACCTACACACAAATTACAGTTGATAAAAATGTTTCATTTTGGGAAAAGTGCTCATGGATTGGGGGCTTTACCTAAAAAGGGAGAACTACTTTTTATCCACTTTTTAAAGACCATGAGCACTAAATATGAAAGTCAGTGACCTTTTGATGTGAAGAATAATTCTTATCCTTCTGTATACAATTCACCCAGAAAAACAGCAACAAGTTCCTCAAGTAAACAGATCGATTTTTTAAAACTCCAGGCTAAAAGAATATTCCATTTCTGACACTACCTGTTCCTGTTACTATATGGAGTTGGATTTCCGATATGTGAACAAAACCTCTTAAAAGATATAACCACCTCCATTATGTTTAGATAATTTAATTTAACATTTTAGAATTAAAATTTGATTTTAATCACTTTACAGTGAGAATTTCATATTTATTGTTTGTTTTTGTACATTTGGTTAAAAATTATGGGCTAGATCCAAATATAATAGTTATTTCTTTTCTTTTTCATTTGTACTGTTTCATTATTGTCGGAGCTTTTGTGACTTAAATTACTAGGATTTTGTATAAAATTTCTGTCTTCAAGGTGTCCAAGAATTATTATTTATCTCTTAAAATTCATTTACTATATATATTAATTTTATAATATAATGATTAATTTTTTATTTAATCCTTCATAGCAGTTAAAAGGTTGAGGTTAAAGTTATTAACACCAGTGACCATGGTCTACATTAACAACAGTGAAATAGATGAGATTTCTTTGTTGCTTAAAATATGCCTGACATATTTAGTCTTCATTTAATTTTTCTTAGTACGCAAAAAGTTAGGTGCTATTATGATTATCCCCAGCTTTTAGATAAAGAGACTTGGTAATGGAGGTTAAGGAATTCAAATCGAGATCTTTCTGATTCTTGGCTTTGGATGGTTAACTTCTCTGTAATGTGGCCTCTCAGAGTGAATGCTTTCATGATAGATAAACTTCATAAAAATTTTTATTTCTAAAATCTAGATTATAAATTTTAGAGGAACAGAACTGTGTATTGTAACTGTTCCCTTTATGTCTATCACATTATCACATACTAGGGAGTGCTCATACACTTCTTGGATGATGACATGGATGAGATTGTCTTGAGCTTACCTGACATGCATCCACTCCACCTTGAGGTACTCCAGCACATAGCATTCCGGGCAAGATGCCTCCATTATAACTATATGGTGCATTACATACATCATTACTTATTATTCTGACTGGTGCTTGCCTTAGCTCTGAAACTGTGGGGCCTGTTTGGTATAAAAGCAGGAAAAAAATGGACTTCAAGATATGTACATTATTGATCCTATAATAAATTTGAGAAGAAATAAGTGTACTCCAAACATTATTTCATATTTAACAGTGAAGGCTCCTAAAGATTTACTCTGGAGTTTCTTTGCAGTAAAAATTCTCCAAGTAGATGAAGATAACCCCTTTTGCAGATCAGTTTTGTTTTTTTTGTTTTTTTTGCTTTAGTTTTGTGACACAGTGCCCCTTAAACCTTTAGAGAAAACAAATTTGCTATCTTAAAATTGATTAAAAGAATTTAAATTATCCACGGACAGACTTTGGATTGGAAGATTACATATTGAATAACCTTTAACCTAGCAGCAAAAGAGAAACCAGCCTAGGTTCAAGGCTAAAGAACTAGTCTATTTTATATTGATGTACTCTCAGAATGACACCACCAGTTTTTCATGACTGGTGCCAATTTTATCTATTACACCAAATTACTTTGGGCCACAAAAACACAATAGAACATGTTCTAGAACTATTAAGGCTTTGTATTATTCCTTGGAGAGACAATCTACAACATGGGTAAAAGCCCAGGGAAATTGTCAATGCTACCCTTCCACTCCTTTGCTGATACTCTTACTTTCTCTTTGGTTCTAGTAGCTCTTGTGCATTGTCCTCATTTTAGTTTCCATTTTATTCATTCAATAAACAAATATAAACAATGCTTATGTACACATCGAGTCTTTGCCATAGAGGCAGGATTTATTTTATCCTAGAATACTTTAAAGGGCAGTTAATACTTTAAGAATTATTAAGTCCTCATAGAATGTCTAATCTAAATACTCCCATTGCTTTGGAAGGCCAAGGCAGGAGGATGACTTGAGGGCAGGAATTCGAGACCAGCCCGAGCAACATAGCAAGAACCTGTTTCTAGAAAACAAACAAACAAACAAAACAAACAAAAAAAGCTGGCTATGGTGGTACACACTTATCTATAGTTCCAGCTACTTGGGAGGCTGAAGCAAGAGGATTTCTTAAGACCAGAGTTTGAGGCTGCAGTAAGCCATGATTGCGCCACTGCACTCCAGTCTGAGAAAGTCTTTGTCTCTAAAAAACAAGCAAACAAACAAACAAACAAAATATTTCTTATTGTTTATAGGGAAGCTGTTTGAATCTTATAGAATCTCCGTATTATTAAATAACTCATGTTTCTTCATAACTTTGTTTTACATTTTCCTTTTACTATATTTGAGAATTCTCCATAGTTCCTGGGCATTGCTTTGCTTTGCTAAGGAAACTCAGGGGTAGCTAGAGCTTGGTCTGAACAGAATATAGAATGATTCTGTCTGTAGAAGAATAGAAACACCTATTCCAGGCATTTCCTAATTTAAAAAATTACATAATAGCAAATATAAGACATTTCTATTGTTAATTTTTTTTCTGAGACACTTACCAGCATATTCTTGAGCACCCCATCCTGTTACATAAGCAGTAGAGCCAAGTGGAATATTCTGGGTAGCAGCTGGGAGACACACACTATGGATGTCTCTGGTAAAGGTGACACTGTTCTCAAGTCTCACGAGTGCAATGTCATTTTCATGAGTTGCAGATATATAATTGTTATGAATTAAAATACTTCTTACTCTCATTCTTAGTCTAGGATTTCTTGTGGAAATACCAAAGGTGGCAATCCATTCACGAGGATTGGAGTTGCTAAAACATTATGAAAACATGTTATATGAGTAGGGAATTTGTGAACATTTCAGATATATAAATTTGTCTTAGCCATCCTGTACCACTATCCAGAAACTATTGGATCCACATCTCTTTGTTATATATTCCTGCATTATAAGCTGGCAAGTGAGTTTAATTCTTCACTGGCAGAATACATGGTCATTTGTCTAAAGAAATGGAGAAGATTTTAGAAAACATATCTTGGGATGATCTTGGTGTTTTTCTACTCCAATGAAGTTATGCTGATACGTTAATGGTAAGTAGCCAATGGTAATAACACAAATATCTTTGATTTCTCTTTTGTCCATACCTCCCTTCCCATTTAAGCAACTAAGAAACCTGAAATAATAAACATTTTAGATTTAACTAATTTCTTTCAATTCCTATCTTTTCCTTTAGCCAGGAGCACCATTTAAATAGTAGTGATGACAAGGGGCATTCTTATCTTATTACTGGATGAATAATTTTTCTGCACTAAGTCTGATAATGGTTGAAGATCTTGGTGTGTGTGTGCATATATATACATATGTACGTATGGGGTCTTCAAAAGTTCATGGAAAATGTATATTATAAACAAATTATGCATGGATTTCAAAAATTTTTGCATGCAAATAGACTCATACTAACTTGTTATACTGAACAGGATCAGTTTCAGGCACTAAGAGGAGTAAGACATGAATTTGAAAAGAGCTCTTATCAAAGCAACATGAATGCTGCTAAAACTGAAGCAAAAAAACATCAAATTTATGATGAAACTGGAAGAATGGTGAAATTATTTATGCCTTACAAAAAGTTTACGGGGACAACGTCTCCCCCAGTCATCAGTTTATGAATGGATAATTTGTTTTAAGAAAGAAAGAGATGTGGTTGAGGGTGAAGTCCGCAGCAACAGATCATCCACATCAATTTGCTAGGAAAAATTTCATCTTGTTCATGTCTAAATTAAAGAGGACCAACAATTAACAGTGAGAAAAAATAGACAACACCATAGACATCTCAACTGGTTCAGCTTATACAATTCTGACTGAAAAACTAAAGTTGAGCAAACTTTCCACTTGATGGATGCCAAAACTGTTTTGCTCAGATCAGCTGTACACAAGGTCAGAGCTTCCAGTAGAAATTTTAAACATTTCAGATCAAGATTCTGAAGTATTTCTTTGAAGAATTATAACAGAAGATGAAACATGGCTTTAGCAATACAATCTTGAAGACAAAGCACCATCAAAGCAATGGCTACAAAGAGGTAGAAGTGGTCCAGTCAAAGCAAAACCAGACTAGTCAAGAATAAAAGTGATGACAACAGATTTTTGGGATGCCGAAGGCATTTTGCTTGTTGACCTTCTAAAGGGTCAATGAAAACTAACATCTTCTTCTTATGAGAGTAAGAAAGTTAGCCAAAGCTTTAGTAGAAAAAGTGTCCAGGAAAGCTCCACCAGAGTCCTTCTCCACCACAACCATGCTCATGCTCATTCCTCTCATCAAATAAGGTTAGTTTTATGAAAGTTTCAGTAAGAAATCACTAGGCATACACCTTTCAGTCCTGATTTGACTCCTTCTGATTTATTTTTGTTTCTTAATTTAAAACAATCTTTAAAGGGCACCCGTTTTTCTTCAATAAGTACTGTAAAAAGGTAATGTAAAAAAGACTGCATTGACATAGTTAAATTCTCAGGACCCTCAGTTCTTTAGGGATGGACTGTATGGCTGGTATTATTGCTTACAAAAGTGTCTTGAACTTGATGGAGCTTACGTTGAGAAATAAAGTTTATAATTTTTTATTTTATCTTTTAATTTTATTTTCCATAAACTTATTGAACTCCCCTCATATATATGTATATGTGTGTGTATACAAGTATATGTGCGTCTATATACATAGAGGAAGACAGAGAACAGTAGCATGAAACAAAAAAGGACATTACCTTTGTGACCTAGGAATAGGGACTTTTTGGCTAAACAACAAAAACACAAACTAAAAGGTAAAAAAAGAATGAATTCTATTAAATCAAAATGAGATATACTGTATCTAAATTTACCAGATGAATGAGAAACCATGGGAAAAGATTGGTAATGTTTACTATCTAAAATTTTTGTAGAATATATTTTAAAAGTCTGTAAACCAGTAATAAATAAGCAGTAAAACCATTATAAAATAGGCAAAGAATATCAATGGCAGTTCGTGGTAGGGGAAATCAAAACAGCTCTTAGATATATGAAAAGATACTCAAACTAGGAATCTGAGAAATTAAAATTATAAAAATGAGCATCTTATGTACATTTAAAAGACTGATAAAACTTAAACAAAAGATAAAACTAAATGTTGATGTGGAGGGAAATTGGACCTCTTTTGCATTACTGGTAAAGATTTAAGTACCCAGAGAGTATTCTGGTATATTTAACTGCCTGCATGGGTGCTTCTGAAATTACTGGAGGTTTACAGAAAGATAAGCACAAATATTTTGCGTGTGCTCTTTGTGGCAATGGGAAGGTAGGTCATGCAACCTAATTGGATGAAGGAAATATGGTGACTGCATACCGTGAGGTGCTATGCAGCAGTGCTTCAGATGAAAATTCCAAGGATTGAGTGAAAACGGTAAGAAACAATGTTAGACTTTTACACAATGCTACTTATTTAAATTAAAGACATATACATACCACAAAGCACTATAGGTTTTGTAGGTGCATGCATGTACCTTTAAGACATGTATATTTCGAACATATTAGTATGAGGCATATGGGCAGAAGGAGGGCAGTGGAAGTGAAATCCAGGGATGACAGGGGGAAAAAAAAATAAAATGAGAGAAATGCCTTGTACAGACTGATGAAAATAAGGATCTGTGATTTGGAGGGCTGATTAACTTAACATTGTTCCCAAGGGTTGAGTAAAAACAAAATGTAACCAAATAATACCAATTTAGGAGTTTTATGGAGATTAGATAGTGAAGTTAATACAGAAAATAAAAATTCTATGACCTGAAATACTTTTATAAGACACAGTAGTTTGTGTAAGAGTGGACCTGAGTTAAAAATTTTGAAGAAAAAACATTAGAAAACAAACCCATGATTGTTTTTATATTCAACTTCCTTTGCTCGGAGTCTTTACAGTGAAAGGTCTGAAGAGACTCTTCTTTCTTTCCTTCCTTTTCTCTCTTCCCTCCCTCTCTTCCTCCCACTTGTTTATTTTCCTCCTTTTCTTCTCTCCAGCTAGTGAATTAGAGCATTGTTTTGGAACCAGTCACATTTATATTTAAATCTTGGCTATGCCACATATTAAAAGTGTTATTTATGACAAGTTAATTAATAGCTCTGGGGTTTATTTACATATAAAATGTGATTGGTGATACCTTCTCACACAATTTTTAAGTATTAATGAGAAATGTATTATGTCAAGCATAGTGTTTGGCACAAAGTGAACTTTCATGAAGGTAGCTATTATTTTCATTAATTATAGTTCAAGAAGCCATTGTTAAGTGTCTACTTTGTATAAGGAATAATATGAGTCTCCAGGAATAAAAATAAAAGTAATTATGATCTCTTTCCTTGAGGAACTCCACACTAGTGAAGAAAACTGACAAGAGGTAAGTCAAATATCACAAATCAGGAGGACAACTGTTAAAGGCAGATAAACAAATTTCTGTGGAACTCAATGTGGAGGAAAGAGAATATCAGGGAAAGCTACATAGAAGAGGTGATAATTCGATAAGCCTCTATGATAAGACCTCATCACTTCTATGTACTTTGATGTAAGGCTGGTCGTGCCCCAAACAAATGCTCACTGATGGTTCTCAGTGACAATCAGGTCTTTAGGGAAGGGCCCAATACAAGGTTCATGGAGTTTGTTAGCTTTAGTGGATCAATCATGGTAATGAATAGAAAGATGTGGGGTGGCAAAATTCAAAGTTCCATGGGTTCCTTTGGTCATCATTGGTGATGTTTATAACTGTGGCTTTCATTATAGTGATATCATTTACTTAGTTTTTGGTGGTTGGGCCTGAATAGGGCTTAGAATCCAGTAAGGTTTCTATTCCATTCTTGGTTATGCTAAGTGCCTGATAAGTCCAGGTATTTGAATTCCTGGTTCCCACATTCAAGAGTATGATTGAAATCAATGCGTGCCATTTCTGCTTTTTGGCCTTTCAAGTGGCAATGAAGATTGAAATGCTTTTGTGAATTTTGTCTCTTGGGTTATTTGGGATGTAGTAATACATTTGCCAATCTATATCAGAAAACTGGTAATTCTGAAAGTATCTTTTGAAATTTCAAATGTGTTCACTGCATATAAAAATATTGTTATAAAATTACTATAAGAAAAATTCAAAATAATTTGGGATTTCCTAAAACTTTAGTTTAGAAACGACCCTAGTGTTTTAAACCTTTATTCCTTCTAAATTTAACAAATACTTTTGTAACAGGCACTGTACCATGAAGTAGTGCCTATAAATCTGAAAAAGACTACTTAGAAATTATCAAAAATTTCATAAAATTCAAATAGAGATTTGGGAAATATATTGACATTTCAAAGATAAGCAGATTGAGCAGATACTCATAGGTAGGGAAATGTAGGAAGAGTCCAGGGCAAGAGAACAATGCTGTTTATCTGAAGCTCAAGGTACATGCTTTGACAAATAAGACTGGATTGATCTGGCTATAGAAGGCTTTGTGTGTGTGATAAGGAAGTCCAATTTAGAGTAAGAGTCTGAGAAGAAAATTGATATGATCACCGGCACACGAGTTCAAATCTCTATTATTTTTCTGGGTGAACTTTTTGATTTAAGTTCCCAACAACTGTTGTGGTCTATGATGCCCCAGTAACAAGACAGGTTTGAAACAAACAGATTTTAGTTATGCTGAAGTCTAAAATCCTTCTTTTATGAGCAATGTGAACTTTTCTTTTTACCAATAGGGTAAGTTTATGCAACCTACTCTCCACTGGCAGCATATCACCCTAGTGTTGGCAATAGTTTAGTCACCTCAATTAAGAATTCTTATAAGTTGCCTTTTAAAAAATTTTTATTTATGCTACTCATTGTAATCGATCATTATTTTTGGGCATTCTAATTCCAACATTAGAGTGTAAGCTCTTTGAAGGCAGAGGCAATACTTTGTTTATACTAGTAGCTTCTACAATATATAACACTGTGCTCATACTAGATACTCAATAATCTTTATGAATGAATAAATTAATGGCATGGGGTGGTCTCTAGGTTAGCCATCAGCTTCCATGATATAATGTGCAAATCTTCCACAACAATTCATTTTGCTAACATTTAACATATGTTTACATTAGTGTACTCAATGCTACCAGTAACACTAAGTCACAGATAACAGTGTTGTCCCTTAATTTGGAAAAAAAAAAAATAAAGCTCGTGGAGATTTAGTAAATTTCTTAAGCTTTTATAGCTAGGATATAAAAAACATTCTGACATATAAATTTTTATTCTTTACTGTGCTAATATACTATTACTTGAAACAGAGAAATAGCACTAAATTAGCATGCTAAAGGGGAAAAATGCTTTTCCTCTCATGAATAGGAAGAAAATTCTTATTGATTTTTTTTGTACTGAATTATTTCTGGCTCAATTCAATCCTAGGGTGCAGTCTTCGTGACCTGTCTATTCTAATTGTTCCCAGATGGGTAGGTAGTGGTGTTCTCACCTTCTGAAGCAGTGAGCTGCTGTCAGGATCCACGTGTTACTGATCAGGCTGCCTCCACAGTGGTGGGCATTATTTAGCCGTAGACTGACTTGCCACGGCCAGCTTCCCTCCTCAGCCTCAGTGCCTCCAATGATTCTCTGCTCAGACAATGTTATTAGGTCTGGACCGGCCCCACATTCTAATGAGAAAAGGGCATTAATGTGCTGGGAAGATCATGATTCCTTTACATTTGGAAGAAGCTGAAGAGGTTTTCCATAATTTATGACTTTTATGCCTTATACATTCTTCCTCAGGACATGCTGGACTTTCCAAAAAGCATGATCAATGTATTTTTACAATTCATTTGACTACTGTTGCTTATAGATGGCATTTTGGAGAACATTTCAGAATTTAGTTGGCATATGGGCTTCAAATTTTGGGCAGTTTCAGAGTTCCCTGGAATTCCCCATGAGTTGAGGTTAAGAGAGATCATTATTGAATGTGCCAGCTCAGGCCACAGACTCCTGGGAAATTTCCTTTTTCTCAATAGTCTTGCTATGCTCAGTGTGGTTTGTGGACCTGCAGCATGGGCATCCCCTGGAAACTTATTAGAAGTGCTGATTCTCAGAACCACATCATGGGACAAATCTAAAGCTGTGTTTTGATGTGAGGTTCATGCACACACTGAAGTTGGAGGAAAACTTGTCTCATCCAAAAGACTCCTTAGTGACTGCAGTTCATCTTGTAGAATCCAGTCCAAGACTGATGCTGTATTACCAAACATGCCCTCAAAAAGGAGCTGCTATACCACAGAATATTCTTGAGGGTGACAGAGGGTTTCATTTAAATAAGGTTTATTTAAATGTTTTCAAAGAGTCCGTGACCACTCTACTGGCCAGAGGCGAAATGGGCTGGGGTAGGCTGATCACCCGATTCCTCTTAACTCCCATTCCCATGATTTTCTTCTCTTTTGCGGTCTATTACTCGGAAATTAATAGTAAATTGCACAACTATTGCTGCGTTGGCTCCTAAGTAGTGCCCTGGTTTAATAGCACAACCACCTAAAGGCTTTTTTTCCTAGCAAATTTCCTGGATAAAGGAGGACCAGGCTTTCATTAAGATATACATATGTTCCTTTGTGGCATCTCCCAAACAAATACCCTAGTAAATTGTTTATCACAGTTTCATTAACAATAAGCATGAATTAAATATGTAGTGAAGCTGAAAAACACTGATGGGACTAGCATCACTTTGTAAAATCACTTAGGTACCTAAGATAGGCCAGCTATCAGGTACATTGAACTCATTTTTAACTGCATTTTTTTGGTCAGAGAAGTAAGCTGCTGTTTTCTAGGGATTGCATTTCTGCTATCCTAGCCTGAGAATACATAGGATGATGTTGAAAAGTAGTGACTTTTCCTTCAGGTTATAGACCCAAAGCTGAGAAGACTTCTCATAATTCTTTTTTATTATACTTTGTAATAACCTCAATTCACAACAAAGCAAGCTACTCTGGTGTTTAGGAGAAGCTACATAAATGGTGTCATCAAACATAATTTGTAAGTCTGCAGAAATGCCACTTTAGAACCAGGGCAGTAAAAGCTTCTCAAAGCTGCCAAAGAAATTTTCATGAGGCCAATTTTGAGTACAGAGTGGGTAGTCCTCCACTACAACTTCTTCCTTTTTCTAAAATGAAAGGGGAAACCTAAAGTCCATTCCATGGGACACTTGGGATTAGCACTGTCTTGTTTCAACACCACCTGAGCGAACTAAGAACAAAGACATCAACTTGATAGACACTGCCCTGGCCAAAAGTACACAAAAGACTTGCACTTTTACTCTTTATGATTTGACAAATTATAATTACAAAATAATTTAAAAACTTACCATTAATAAGCCAATTTGCTGCAGCCTGGTCAGTAAGTGCTAGAATTTAAAAATGAGAATAAGATAAATACAGTAAAGGCTGTATATCATTTCACCATAATTTCTTAAAGTGCAGTACTCAGACAACAAGAAGCAGAATTACTTGTTGTAGGGGGAGTCCTCTAAAATGCAGATTCCTAGGCTCCCTTTCAGACCTGCTGAAACAATCTCTAACTCATGGGCCCTACAAATCTCTTTGTTTACCACCTTTTCCCAATTTGTTGTTATGCATACTAAAGTTTGTACTTTAATTTCTCATTAAATACTTAATAGGTATCTCTTCTTTCAAGGTACTCAATTTATATGGGAAAACAGAAACATAAGCAAGTCATTGAGATGCAATATGATAAATGCCATAAGGGAAGTTAATTTATCATGTACTTAAATATACGCATATTACTCTAATGATACCATTCTATAATAAGTGCTGCAGATTTAACTGTGAGCAAAATATAGAGGACTTGCCCTCACATAATTTACAGATAGAAATTAATCACGCAATCATTCAAATAAATGTAAGTGCAAAGTAGAGAAAAGAAAAAAGAGAATAACTAATATAAATTATATTGAGGAGACAACATTTGAGCTAGAGGAAATAGCATCTGCACTATATTTTAAGATCTGAAAGGAATTTTTCAGGCACACAAGAGGACAAAAGAGATTTCAGATGGAAGGTATAGTGGGCACAAATGCTTGGAGGTGTAAGATGTTTGTGGAGCAATAAAGTAAGGAGAGCTAGAGCATGTGTTGTGTTTAGGGAAATAGAGGGTGAGCCTGGAAAGGAAAATATGTCAGTGTCAGATGGTAAAGGTCTGTCTATTTCAATTTAAGAACTGCATACAAGACCGTTTTCTCTGCATGTCCAACACTCATATCAAATGCAATGTGACCCAATTTTATCCAAAATTTGCCATTTATTCTTTCCTTTTAGTAAAATGACACCACTTCCAAAATCTGAATTTGTCTCAAACTTCTCCTTTCTCATCATTTCCACATCTTATAATCTCCAGATTCTGTACCTCTGTCCTCTATGTTTTGAATTATTCTCTCCTCTTCATTCCTTTTGCTACTACTTTAGTTCACGCTTTCATCATTTGACATCAGTACAGTTACAACAATTTTCTAACTGAATTCCACCACTTTTGCTCCTTTTCAGTTTATGCACCTCTACCTTACCAGACTGATCCTTTCTAAAAAGTGTTATGTTAGATCATATCCTTCCTTGATTGAAATTTTTAATTGAGAAACCCGTCATTTTTATTTCCTGCAAGATAAATTAAAACTTTTCAAGACAGGTTTCCATGCTCTCTCAAACCGATTTGTCCAAAGTTATTTCCCACTAAAAGTTTCACAAGGTTTGGGTATCACATTTGTTTTGCAAGCTTCAGTGGATCCAAATCATACTTTTGGAGACAGAACATTTTAAAAAGCTGGCCATTCTTAATTTTTTGAACAAAACAGACTTAGTTTGAATCCTGACTGCCTCATATACTGACTGTGTCAGCCTGGGCAATTTATCTCTTCTAAGGGGGACAATAAAACTATCTATGGGATATGGTTGTTGTAAGGATTAATCAAGAAAAAAATTCATATAAGGCATTAAAACCATGCCTAAAAATAGTAAGTTCTCATTAAATAAGTGTTTTGATGATGATGATGTGAATGATGAACACTAATCAATCATTCCAGCAGGCCCCTTTCTTCATTGTTTTGTCAAAGCATCACGTTCCGTACAGACTATTTCCCTTTTTCACGCTTTCCTTCTCTGGCAATTTTCTTTCTCTCATCTCAAAATATGTAAATCCTACCCATATTTCAAAGTCAAAGTCCATTCTCCTTCATGAAACTTTTGCTAGATATCCCAAGCACGCTGGTCTCTTTCTTCCCTAGATTCCTGCAGTGGTCACTGCCTGGGCCTCACACTGGGCCCTTGATCATATTCTATCTTGATTGTCAACACTCTTGTGTTGGAATATCTTTCCCTTCAACTAGATTATGGGCTCTGGAGGTGGAAACTGCTATTATGTTACCATTGTATCACCATATTGTCTAGTATAATGCTAAGTAAATAAACACTCATGAAGTCCATTCATGAGAATTCCTTAATGTGTGGAAGCAGAGGTAATATTCAACTACCTAACAAACTGCAGTGCATGAGCATCGGCCAGTCATAAAAGATGTAATCAGGCTATGGAGTTGGAGCAGTGTCTTAGAGTTCTTTGCTTTGCTAAGCATAACTCTTTAGCTGCAGGGGCAGTAGATTTGAAGCATCTCGGAAGACAACTTTGTGGGCCTGATGCAGTAATTGTTTACTAACAAATAGGAAAGCATTTCAATATTTAACAGTTAGTACATCTGTAACTGGTACCTACCAGTCTAGTGTGGGAATCATCAAAATCCTTTTAATCTTGAGCTCATAGTGAAGAAATCATGACTTACTAAACTAGCAGAACGTGACCAACTTGGAGGAATGTCCTAAATTCTATGCATATATTATTTCTTTTATTTCAGTCATGCAAGAATTATTTATTGAATATGTGTTATATGATGGAGACCAGGTGGTAGCAGGGTAGTAGGATGAAGAAGTTTGACTGGTTCTTTTTTTTTAGGACGATTATAGTGTAGGATGAAGCCAAACAATACAAAAATTACACAAATAACTTTGTAATTTCAATTGTGATAAATGTTACAAAGAAAAATGAAGAAGCCTCTGAGGTGGATCATTAATTAAATAGTTCTCTGACCTTGAGCATCTATGTACCCCTCCTATGTCATATCCACAAATGACATCTGACAGTAACATCACTCAAAAGGAACGTTGCAGGGATAATTAATGAGAATTTTTAGCAAATAAAATTTACTATATAAATGCCAAATGATTCTTTAAATCTTAGAATGTTTTACGTTAGAGAGCTATATGGTATATTTAGCTTTTTAATGTATTGTTTTCATAGTTTAGTTTCAAAGAAAGAAAAGTCAGCCTCTCAATTAAAATGTGAATTTGAATTGGTAAACTTGAGGGATATGTTGAAATAAAATTGTTTATGAAAAATTATACTTACATGTTATCTCAGTTGAAGAGTTTATTTCCAAATTTCCAGAGTTATTCAGCATTTGTTGTAAAACAGACTCAATTCTGCTTTTCATTGATGCTCCATTGTTATTTCTAGTGAATCGAAATTTCATGACAACATCCGCTCTCACACCACTACCATCTTGACTGTAAATCATAAAGATATTTTAAAAAACAAATAACATGACACTTTTTCACCATCCTGTTTATAAACTCTTCTTGATTAAACTTTTAAAGAATTCATTTGTGGAATTTAACTTTAGATAGATCTCTGTAACAGTGTTTGCATACATAATACTATATCACGATGCTATCTTACAAATTTGATTTCAATGCACAGAACATTGTACTCACGATAGGAGAGCTGATTTTGAAGTTATAATGCCAGAATTTTACAGTGTAACTTTGGGTAAGTTATGTAAGTTTCTTGATCTTTCTATATCTAAGTCTCTTCACATGTAAAATGGGTTGTGAAGATAAGATGAATCACTATATGTAAAACTTCAAAGAAGAGTCAATAATATACAGTAAGTGTACTATAAATATTAGCTATTCTTAGACTTCTCCAATGTTATTAAAAATAATCTCCTTAAACAAATTCATAAAGTGATGAGATTCTAAATTTGTGTGAGAGACTCAACTTAATTTCTTGGTACCTGGACCATTCATCTGGCTACAAAAGCAAATTTTAACTTTTGTCATATATTAAGATTTCATCAATCATTTTAATTAATGATAAATATTCCTCACAATAAACCTTGGTGACTTGATTAAATATTCTGATTATCTAAAGCCTCAGTAATTTCTATTTTCTTCCATGAAAATTACCTCATAAACCAGTTTCTCTACCTAACATTGGCTATCTTCTTTTCTGAAAAAGTACATTAAAGATATTTGGCTTTGAGGCCCTCATATTCTCTCTTGGCTTCCTCCTCTCACCTCAATGACCAACTGTAACTTAATATTCATTCCAGATACTAATTTAATATTTATTTTAAAAAATGTTAGATAAATAACTGCTTGTGCTAGGCACTATTCTAAGCTTCAGAAATTAGCTGTGACCAAGATTCACAGTTGCCATATGGGTCTTGCAGTTTAGATGTAGAAACAGGCACTGAACAAATAATTACCACTGCCATGTCTAGCAACATGGAAGCCTAAATAATTTTAGAAAACACTTTCTGTATAACACAAATAGAAACAATAGATAATATATAATAAATTCCATTTCAAGTGTAAAACTGGGCTCATAGAAAAGTAAGGAAAATCCTGGAAGACCAAAAATAAAGAAGAATATGAATAGTATGTGGTAAGACTAGAATATTCCACAGGCTTATGTTTAGCATTTACATAGAAGCTGGAGATGGGACCTTGGGCTAGTGCAAAATAGGAAGTTGAACTTGAGGTTTTAGAATAAGGCCAGGAGTCTCGAACTAAACCCCCAATAACGGCATGAACTAGAATGAAAAAATATGCTCATCATCTCATAAAAAAATAAATTTATCTGTTTCCAAGATCCAGCTTTAAATTAAGAAAAAAAAAAAAGAAATATCACCTGAAAATTCGTAATTATGGGCCTGGCTGCATGATGTCTGAATCTTCCTTAATACTACCTGAATACTCCCAAAACCTTTAAACTAAGAAATTAACAACAACAACAAAATCCATGTGCTGCTGATTCCTCTAGAATGTCTGACAGATGTAACTGCTCTGGAGGTAGATGTGTTAAGTCTAGGTTGTACAGGGTCCCAAGTGAGATTAAATTTAAGCATACAATTTCAATGGTAAACAACACATCATGAGGAGTGTATTAATATTTTCTCACGGAGCTATAAAGAACTGCCCAAGACTGGGTAATTTATAAAGAAAAGAGGTCCCCATGGCTGGGGAGACCTAAGGAAATTTACAATCATTGCAGAAGGAGAAGCAAACCCATCTTTCTTACATGGTGACAGGAAAGAGAAGAACAGAACAAAGGGGAGAAAAGTCCCTACAATCTAATCACCTCCCACAAAGTCCCTCCCACGACATGTGGGTATTATGGGAACCAGAGTTCAAGATGAGATTTTAGTGGGGGCACAGCCAAACCATACCAAGGTGGAATCAAAATAACAAAAATATTATCCTCAAAAACTTCACACAATAGAATCAACAGACAAGTGATTATATTTGGAGTGACAAATGACATAAAAGAGGGAATCATAAAAATGAGATTAAGTAGAAAACATTATTTTTAAAAGGTCACCTAGTATCTGATAACACAACAGAGTGACTATGGTCAATAATAATTTTATTATACATTTAAAAATAACTAAGAATATATTTGGATTGTTTGTAACACAAAGGATAAATCTTGAGGGGATGGATACCCCATTTTACATAATGTGATTATTATGCATTGTTTGCTTATATCAAAACATCTCATGTACCACATAAATACATACAACTACTAGGTACCCACAAAAATTAAAATAAGAAATGTTTTTAAAAGACCAGGCAGATTCTCAAAAGAAACAAATAGACCTTTCAGATAGAAAATCATACTCATTGAAATTGGAAACACAATAAATGGGTTACACAGAATACAAGTCAAAGTTGAAGAGAAATTCGTTATCTAAAAGAGATAAAGAAATTACACAGAATCTACCATAGATAAAAGATAAAATAGAGGTTGAGAGACATGATAAAGTTCCATGTAAACCAATGCTAAAAAAGAGCCCAGAAAAAAAACAAAGAAGCAGTCAAACTGGAAGAGATCATGAGAATTATCCACGTGATGGTACCAAGTAGATGGCTGCATATATTCATGTCTAGAGACAAAAGAGGACTTGCCTAGAGATATAGCTTTGAGAGCACTCAGCATATGGGTGGCAGTGAAGGTCAATGAAAAGAGAGAGTGTGACCTGAGAAGATGAGAGGCCTAGAGCACAGCCTGAAGTTCAGCAACATATGAGGAATATACAAAGAAGTAAGACCTCGTAAAGGAAACCAAGAAGGAATAGCTAGGGAGATAAGGGGAAAATCAGGGTGTACAAGGCCATACAAACCAAGTGATAGTCCTATTTCAAGGAGTGACAGACCAACAGGACGAAATACTGTTGAGAGGTCCAAGAATAGGACTGATGTGGTTTCTTTGGATTTTGTTATTTGGATGTCATTGTTGAATTGGCAAGAGCAGTTTATATTTTGTGATGGTATTGAAGCCATGTTGCAGAGGATTGAGTGATAAGTGGGAAGTGACCGAAAAGAGAGAAAATGCAGAAGGCTCATGTAGTCCTACAGGTTTTCAGGGTTACTTACTTTTGAGCATTAGTGGCTGATACAGATACTGACAAGAAAGTACTAAGTGAACGTGCACTGAATTGACTGAGAGGTGTTTTGGAAAATTTCCTTCTCATGGACTCTTCTTACCCCTTTAACTCCTCATCAAAACTTGCCTGACCAGACATGTGTGCTCCAGATACTTACTAGGTGATTCTCCAGAGAGTAAGAATTAATTTTCTTGTGATGCTAGTATTTGAGAAAGAATTGGTATAATTCCTCTTCTGCCAAAGAACTATCGCATATTATTTAAAGGCTAGAGCAATGTGGTCATTTGAGACATTTACAGGAGAGTCAGTAAAGGTGACTATTTCAGTTGGAAAGGCCGGTTTTATCACATCATATTTAACTAAGGCAGGAATGGCAAATAACTAGCATGCATGCTGCTACTCCTCCTATTATTAATTCATGATAAACACGCCTTGGATTTGGCCATAATACCCTTTCATTATAGCACGTCAGGAAGATAAAACCAAAAAGCCACTTCTGATGATGGTCATAGTGTCTTGATCTTGGATGGATACACCCAAACCACAGCACTGTACAACTCCAGGAAGGACTATTGACATAGGCTGCACTGTGAGTGATATCCACTGGAGTTTTACAATAGGATGACTTTGTTACTGTACCTTCACCCCAACTCACTCTCCACCCCTTCTTCCTCTTCCCAATAAGAATAGATGTAATATGGTTACTTACATTAGTAGCTAAATAGATCATATGTTTGGCTTCTTTGGCATTTTTTTTAAGATGACTAAAATACTATTTTCATAATATTGCAACAACTTATCTGAACATGTCATTTACTATTCATTCTGTGACAAAAAGTCAAATATGCCACATTGTATCTATAGTTAAATATTTTTTCTATAGATCCACTCACCTCAGTCTGACAACATGAGCTCTCATAAACTGGTTTCTTAAATTTGATTCTTTGAATGTTCTAGTAATCTGTAGAAAGAAAGAGAGGGGAAACTCTCTGTAATTACAGTTCTTCTCCTTCCTCTCAACCTTGCAACATGAGACATGTTAATGAGGAGTAGAAAACTGAATTTTCACTTTAGTTCAACCCAGTTCCATTGCAAAACACATGGGATTGATTTGGACAGGTTCTGTAACCTTTTGATGCAGTACCTATTCCTTTATCTGCTACACAGAGATGATGCTGGACAGGATGGGTTTTTGCTAGAAATCATTCTAAACACATCAGGTGTTTTACTCAATGAGAGGTTATGTTATATGGCTTGGTGACTGTTCTAAGGGCTTGGGGCAGGAGTCATGCCAGCATGAGGGAAGTCCACTGACACAACTCAAAATGTGTGATCCCAACAATTGCTTTTAATGGATGAAACCTGATTAAACCAGACTAAAATGAGTAGCAATGGAAAACCTGAAGAGAAGGGGAGAAGGAAGCAAAGGGGACTATTTTTTTTTTTTTTTTTTTTTAGCATTAGTTGGTAATATCTTTTTTATTTTTTAGAAATTGAGTCTCATATATTACTCAGGCTGGCCTCTAACTGTTGTGTTTAAGAATCCTCCAGCCTCACAGGAAATGTAGCGGTGAAGAGGGGAAAAGTGGTGATGGTTAATGGGTAGAAAAATATAGTTAGATGAAATAAATAAGATCTCACATTTAATAGCACAACAGGGTGCCTATTCCAAGAGTGGAGTTGGAATGTTCCTAACACAAAGAAAGATAAATGCTTGAGGTGATGGATATCCCAATTACTCTGATGTGATTATTAAACATTATGTGCCTGTATCAGAACATGAACTATCTCTTTGAATCACTACTCGGTCCCAGCAAGGATATTTCTCCTGAGGCCTAACATTCAGATTCACAGTCAACTGGAAGTGCTGTGCCTCATACAGTTCTCCTGAGATGCAGGGTCAGATGTATTGTGGTTTCATTAAGAAGAATGGATTATGCTGGCTTATCCTGTGAGGTGGCACCTAGGTGGATGTAGATATGAAAAGGTGAAGATAAGAAAATTAACTAGCATGGTGGATATTACATTAAGCCAGGATTTGAAGCCGATTCTTCTCAAAATGGTAAAATTTATGCAATGTCGATTACACCACAATATATCTTACTTTTTCAATATTCACTCCTATAGGATGATTGATGTCAGACCAACATGATTCTTAACCAAATGATAACTTTGTTTTTTTTTTTTTTTCCCAGAGAACATTTGAACAATTTTAAGAACAATGAGACTGTGGGTTTTATCAAAGTACTTTATGTTTCTTTTTAAAAAATTCAAGAAATACTAGTAAGTATTAAGAAGAAAACAAAAAGTCAGACCAGGCATGGTTGCTCACATCTGTAATCCCAGCACTTTGGGAGGCTGAGGTGAGTGGATCACTTGAGGTCAGGAGTTCGAGACCAGCCTGGCCAACACGGTGAAACCCTGTCTCTCCTAAAAATACAAAAAAAGTATTAGCCAGATGTGGTGGCAGACACCTATTATCCCAACTGCTCAGGAGGCTGAGGCAGGAGAATCACTTGAACCTGCAGGGCAGAGGTCTCAGTGAGTCAAGATCGTGCCAGTACACTCCAGCCTGGACAACAGAGCAAGACTCTGTTTAAAAACAAGAAAAAAAAGAAGGCGAAAAGTCATTCTAAATTCTATAATCTAAAATTAACCATTGCTGTAATTGGATAAAGTAACTTCCAGTAACCTACTTAGAATCATGAGCTTTAATATGTTGATTAATATGGAATGTTAAAGGAGATATTTTAATAAAAATATTGAACTTTAATTTTACTTGACTTTAATCGAAGTAGAAGAAACTGTTGTAAAGTTGAAGGAATTGTTAAAATTTGGATAAGTGGTTCTTGTAATTATATTTTAATTCATGATTTGGCATTGCACTGGCACAGGCTAGACTGGACCAAAATGTTAAAGATCCCCTTTAACATTTCTGTTATGTGGAAAACATTAAGAGGCAATTTAGTAAGGACTAAGATAATAAGCAACATAAGGAAAGCAAGTTGATTAATTGGTTGATATGCAAATACAAATATAAAAGAAGAGGCCTATGAATAAGATTCCATATTTCACAGAGTGGGTGAAAATGTTACTACTGACACTCATTAGAACTTAACAAATGCCAGGTGACTGAGTTAGGAATAGATACAAACTGCTGGGGCTGGGGGTGGGGGAAGGAAGTCCCAGGGATGCTAAGGCTCCTACAGAGGGAGTTAGCCCCCTGTCAAAAGCTGACGCCCCTGGGAAGCACAGCAGCAGGGGCTCAGTGCCAGCTCTGGTGGGGTGACAGCCCCAGAAGTGAAGGAGGGTTTATGTAGTAAAGGAGTGCACTTGGAGAGGCAAAGCCCCAGGTCTGCATGGTCAGGATCTGCCTCCAAGGGAAGCTGTGCAGTGTCAGTGTGTATGTGCACTTGCGTGTGTGTCTTCATTTGTCTTTAAATCCCAGTCAATCAATCTTATTTTTCAATTCCTTTTGCCATAATGCCTGATATTTTTAGCATTCAGCCTTAAATAACCTAAATCCCAAAGTTTCACCATTTTGTAGTACTTTACAACTTATAGATGACTGCACACACACTCATTTCATTATTTACAGCTCAGTAGATCTCACTGGACCCATGTGGCAGGTGAGAAAAAAGTCTGTGAGCCTTGTAGTGACTTGCCTGGAAGTGAAGGAAATCAAACCAGACCTTTGACTACCTGCCCAGGGCCATTTCTGCTGCCCCAGAGCAAACTTCTGTATACAGACTGAGAGCTTTGGAAATGTACCGAAGCGGGAGCTGGTGCTGTCCTGTCATTGACTTACTTCCCTGCTACTGTATGTGTCTGGGAGGACGCACTGGTTTTAATGGAGATCTACTGCAGCCATTCCGTTCCCTCTGCACAGTCACTTAGGTGACGGGTCCAGAGTCACGGATTCAAGAGAAGTGCCGTCAATAAACCTACATTACTTAAACCAACAAGTGGTTCAGAAAATACACTCCCAAACAACTGGGTATCCAGATCTCTAGGCATAATAAATCTCACCCGTCTCCCAATTCCGGACTGCACTTGTGTGTAAAGGCAGGCAATTGCTGAGAGATAGCTTTGCAGATAGATGGTAGAACAAAAAGTATCAAAAGATCTCAACTCCCTGGAGCCACTGGTGCTTTGCTGTTCTCCACTGAGGGAGGTGCACCTCCTAGCCTCGCTTGGATGGTAAAACTGAAGCAGTGGGGCTGGGGAGCATGGCTGAGGAGCAGTTCATTAGGGATTGTTCATCTTGTATCTTTATTGCTGGCTCCAGCTTAGATCTACCTCTGAGGTAGTCTAGGCATCCATTCCTTTCCCCATTGAATCACTCTGCTAAGATGTCCACAGTGAACTTTTGTCTCCCTGAACAACCTGTTTTCATTTCGGTTTTCTCTTCCAGCCAATGGCACCATTATCTACCCAAGTTAGACATTTCTGTGTCAGTGCTAACCTGCCACTTCTCATCCTGTCTTCTAATCCATTGCCAAGTTCTGTGGATCTTACCTTAAGCCCATCCTTTCCTCTCTATTCCCTGGCAGCATTCCTGGCACCTGGTGTGCCTCTGGTTTGGCCCTTGTAGGGGCTGCACTACTGCACTACCACCCACCTTGGGACTGAGGTTACACAAAGGGGGTGGGGCAACTCACACCCAATGGTGAAGGATGGTTGCTAAGGGCCCATTTCTACCCCCTGCCTCTGGCTCCCTTAGTCTTCTGTGCCAACAGTACTGTAGTTTGACTCTGCCTCTGCCCAATGCTGCTTCCTACTCTTCCTGAAGGTGTTGGTTGAGAGCACTCCAGAGACACTCTCTGCACGCAGGTCTTAGAGTCTGCTTCCCTGGGAACCTAACCTATGATACTTGGTGCCTGGATAGCCCTAGGAAGCAAACTCTAAAACATAGTTAGAGTTGGAAACTCTCCTGCCGGTTTCCATAGAGGACCCTGTCATTGGTGGGAGATGAGCGCTGAAAGCTTTGAGCGGGGCTCCGAGGAACAAAGGGACCAGGCTGCACCGGCAGCCTTGTTAAAACACAGATTTCTAGGCCCCAATGTCAGAATTTCTGATTTGGTAGGTCTTGGTGAGCCCAAGAGTTTGCATTTCTAACAAGTTTCTAGGTGATGCTAGAGAGACCATATTTTGAAAACCACTGAGCTAATCTCCAGTGAGAACCATCACAGCTGGAGGACTGAATCATAAGCTTATTTAACACATTTTTTTTTCTCTAGAAGCAAGCATCATTGAAAACCAAGTTATGAGAAGACTGCAGGGTGAGCATAGAATAAAGCAAGGGGAGTTAGATACATCATTTAAATGTTTAATGAGATTAGAATGAACAGTTGAATCAGAATGATTTGGGAAGAGAATCTAGGGCAAGAACCAGATGTAGGGTTAACATTGGGGGAAATAAGTTCATTATATCAGAAGTGGGAGACTTCTGTTCCTTCAATAAACATTTATTAAGCATCAACCCCACCAAATGTTGTGGATATACAAAAATCAAATGGATGTGGAGCTGTCCTCATGGAACTTAGTCTAACATGGCAGATTAAACAAGTCTACAAATATTTTTAACATAAAATACATAGAGGTATGTGGCATGAGATCCACACAGATATGATTTTGTGGTGACGTGATGTGGAAGGAAGATTAATTATATCCAACCATGGAGATCAGAGGTAATTTCTTATAAAAGATGGCTTTTCAGGTTGGCTATAAGAATAAGTAGGGCACACGATGACTGAAATATGGGCCAAAGCATAGACATAAGAAGTTGCTTAGCTAACAAGTTTGGAATTTATTTTGTAGGCAAGAAGTCTTGAGCTGGAGGTAACATGAAGAAAACAGGCTGTGAGAGATTTGTGTTCAGAAATTAGATTTAAATTAGATTAGAGGGAAAAGAGCCTGCGCACAGTGAGAACAGTTAGAAGTTCATTGCAGTGGTTCAGAAAAGCACCAAGGGATTAAAAGCCTGGATTAAGGAATATTTCAGAAAATGTAGAAATGCTGATAAAATTTTATCTTGAACTCACCAAAGTAACCCTGCCAGGTGACTCAGTTACATGCTAAAATTGTAGAACCATTGAATTACTTTATAGTCTTAGGACATATTTTTGAAAAGGTAAGGGTAAGTGAGTGACACTGAGCCTGGTCAAAGCTAAAGGGCAGCCCCTGGTTTGCGGTGATACGTGAATGTTAAGGGTTCACTGGTGAGGTTTCCTGGCAGGCAGCCAGAGGCCCTCTTCAAGTCAGAGCTCAAGCTTGCTTTGCATATTTCTGTTCAAACTTCCATGTGTATCATTGAACCAAAGTGTAATGTTGTCCAAACTATGTTATTACTGATATGGTAAACCTGTCTTTTAACGCCTCCTGTCTTGTGTCTTTAGTTGAATAAGGAAGAGGGAAGGGGGAAAAATGAAAACAAATTAAAAAGACAATGTCAATGCTTAATTAAACAAATAAAAAACTTTCAGTATTTGAATTCATAAACAAATAAAATGCATATTTAATCATGGCCTTTCTAACACTTTTTACTCATGACAAATATGTGAATAAGAACCAGTATATGAGTAAACTAGCTTGATAAAAGCAGAGAGAAACACATGTTTCACCATACAAGGAAGGAAAATATGTAGAGCACCTAGCAACTGAAAATATATTACAAAACATTAGGTTTATTATCATATTCATTTTATAATGGAATAAAGAGCAGAGACAAACATTAACTTACCAGAGATTCAATTCTTCCACTCAAAGTCCTGTATTCCTGTGTAGCTGGTGAATTTAACTGACTATTATATTCAACATTTAGGAGTTGAAAACTACTCCTGTAAAAGTAAGATTTTTGATCTGGAAAAGAAATAAAAGGGAGGGTCAGTCTTACTTTACTAAGTAGTTACACTTTTAATTTATTCAGGATTATGGGATGTTATATTATAGAATTTCAAAAATTTGCTTTCCTTGAAAGAAAAAGTTCTATGCTTAATATGAGTGTAATTATGATAAAATTATTATCTTTTCTACTTTTAAAAAGATTGGCAAAGCCAGAGTGGTGTAGATGTTTTAAAATCAGAGTGGAATTATTATTTGAGAAATTAAAAATAGTCAGAAATACTACAATTTTTGTTCTTGCTATATTTTAAGGGAAGTTTGTGATGTATTTATTCAGGAAATATTAATGAGTGTTTGTAATATACTATTATTCATGTATCATTACGAAAGAACCCAAAGTAATTGTGAAATTTTAAAAAATTATTTTCAAATAATGTTCTTTATAGAGGAGTTAGTGATTCTCCATTAGCTTTTCTGGAGTAAGCTAGAAGATAAGTCATCTGACAAGATATCTAATCTAGTAATCCAATGTAAATTATTTTCATCAAAAGGCACCTTGCAAAATAAAAAGCTTGACAGACCAATAACAAGTAATAAGATTGAATCAGTAATAAAATGTCTCCTAATAAATAAATGTCCAGGACTGATGGCTTTATTGCTATTCTACCAAACCTTCAAAGAAGAACTGACACCAATTCTCCTCAAACTACTCAAAAACATCAAACAGGAGGGAGTTCTCCCCAAGTCATTCTATGAAGCCAGTATTACTCTGATAGAAAACCAGGCAAGGACACAATAAAAAAAAAATAATACTACAGGCCGGGTGCAGTGGCTCATGCCTGTAATCCCAGCACTTTGGAAGGCCAAGGTGGGTGGATCACGAGGTCAGGAGTTGGAGACCAGCCTGACCAACATGGTGAAACCCTGTCTCTACTAAATATACAAAAATTAACCAGGTGTGGTGGTGGGCATCTGTAATCCCAGCTACTTGGGAGACTGAGGCAGGAGAATTGCTTGAACTCGGGAGGTGGAGGTTAAAGTGAGCCAAGATCAAGCCACTTTGCTCCAGCCTGGGTGACAGAGCAAGACTCCGTCTCAAAAAAAAAAAAAAAAAAAAAAAAAAGCCAAAAAAAAAAAAAAAAAAAAAAAAAAAATACAGGCCAGTATTACTGATAAACGCAGAGGCAAAAATCCTCAACAAAATACTATCAAACTGAATCCAACATCATATCAAAATGACAATATACCACAATCAACTAGGATTTATCCCAGAGATGCAAGAATGGTTCAACGTATGCAAATCAATAAACTTAATACATCACATAAACAGAATGAAGACAAAAAACATATGATCATCTCAATAGACGTTCAATAGATTCAATATCCCGTCATAACAAAAACTCTCAACAAACTAGGCTTAGAAGAGGAATACCTCAACAACATGAAGGCTGACCAACCCACAGCTAACATTTTACCAAATAGGGAAAAGCTGAAAGCCTTTCCTCTAAGAACTGGAACAAGACAAGTATGTCCACTTTCATTACTCCTATTCAACATAGTACTGGAAGTCCTAACCAGAGCAATCAGGTGAGAGAAAGAAAGAAAAAGGCATTCAAATTGGAAAAGAAGTTACATATTCAAATTGTTCTTTTTGCAGATTATATAATTTTATACCCCAAAAACCTAAAGACTCCACCAAAAACTCTTAGATCTGATATATAATTTCAATAAAGTTGCAGGATATAACTCAATATATAAAAATCTGTAGCATTTCTATACACCAACAATGAAATAGCTGATAAACAAATCAAGAAGGTAATTCCATCTTCTACAAGGAAAACTACAAAACACTGATGAAAGAAATGGAAGAGGACACAAACAAATGGAAAGACATTTCTTGCTCATGAATTGAAAGAACTGATACCATTTAAATGACTATACTCTTCAAAGCAATCTATAGATTCAATGCAATCCCTATCAAAATACCAACATCACTTTTCACAGAAATAGAAAAAGCCATCCTAAAATTTGTATGAAACAAAAAAGAGCCCAAATAGTCGAATCGAACCTGAGCAGAAAGAACAAATCTAGAGACATCACACTACCTGACATCAAACTATACTCCAAGGCTATAGTAACCAAAACAGCATGGTATTGGTATAAAAACAGACACATAGACCAATGAAATAGAATAGAAAGCCCAGAAAGAAATTCACATACAGACAACTGAATTTCAACAAAACTGTTAAGAACAAACTATGGGGAAAGCACACTCTATTCAATGAATAGTGCTAGGAAAACTGGATATCCATTTGCAGAAGTATGAAACTGGACCCTTTTCTCTCACTATATACACAAATCAATATAAGATGGATCAAAGACTTAAATGTAAGACCTACAACTATGAGAACTATTAAAAGAAAACCTAGAGGAAACACTTCATGTCTTTAGTCTAGGGAAATAATTTATGACTATGACCTGAAAAGTACAGACAACAAAACCAAAAATAGACAAATGGGAATTAATTAAACAAAAAAGCTTCTGCAGAGCAAAGAAACAACCAACAGAATGGAAAGACAACCTGTTGAATGGGAAAAAAATATTTGCCAACTGTTCATCAGACAAGAGACTAATATCCAGAATATACAAGGACCCAAACAACACAACACTAAAAAAAAAATAAAAATAAAAATTTCATTAAGGAGTGGGCAAAGAACATGAGCGAATATTTCTCAAAATAAGACATACAAATCATCAGCAGGTACATGAAAAAATACTCAACATTGCTAATCATCAGAGAAACACAAATCAAAACCACAATGAGATATCATCTCACCTCAGTTAAGATGACTATTACCAAAATACAAAAATAACAGATACTGGTTAGAATGCAGAGAGAAGAGAATTCTTATACACTGTTGGTGGAAATGAAAATTAGTGCAGCTATTGTGGAAAACGGTATTGAGATTTCTCATAAAACTAAAACAGAACTACCATATGATCCAGCAATCCTACTACTGGATATTTATCCAAAGGAAAAGAAATCACCATGTCAAAGAAATATTTGTACTTGGGTGTTTATCTCAGCACTGTTCACAACAGCCAAGATGTGGAATCAACCTATGTGCCCATCAAGAAATTAATGGATAAAGAAAATATTATATATATACACACACAATAGAATACTATTTGGCCATAAAAAGAATGAAATCTTGTCATTTGCAGCAACATGGATGGAATTGGAGGTCATTGTGTTAAGTGAAATAAGCCAAGCACAGAAAGACAAAATTAGTCAGGCATGGTGGCTCATGCCTGTAATCCTAGTACTTGGGTAGGCAGAACTGGGAAGATCACTTGAAGCCAGGAATCTGAGACCAGCCTGGGCAACAAAGTGAGACCCCATCTCTACAACTAAAAAAAGAATAAAAAAGAAAGACAAATATGTTCTAACTCATATGTGGGAGCTTAAAAAGTTGATCTCATCAAGGTAGAGAGTAGAATGACAGATACTAGAGACTGGAAAGGGTGGAGCATTGTAAAGGGGATTGAAGAGAGGTTGGCTAACAGGTATAAACATATAGTTAGATAAATGGTGTAAGTTTTATAGTTTAATAGCAGAGCAGAGTGACAACAGTTAACAACAATATATTATGTATTTCAAAGTAGCTGGAAAAGAGGACTTGAGCTGTTCCAACACATAGAAATGATAAATACTCAAAGTGCTGTATACCTCAAATACCCGGGCTTGATCATTATACATTCTATGTATGTAACAAAATATCCCATGTATCCCATAAATACGTAAGATGTTATGTATCATTAAAACAACAAAAACAACAACAATAATGACAGGGGTCTTCCAGAGGACCTTTTCAGTTGTGTGAAAGAGACAAAAGTCTCTAAAACATATCTGTACACAACTCATAAACATTATGAAGATGTACATAACCTAATGGAATCTGTCTCAGAACAAAAATCTCTGCTTTCCTTTGATCATTCATATGCATTACTTATGCAAACAAACACCTTGGTAAGGGGCAAAAGTTGGAGATACTGGGGGAATGGTGGTTGTTTGTAGTGGAAGATCAAGTCATTTAGGGGCCATAAGTGATCATTGGAACACAGTTTGCAGATGACTTACCAAAGGGCTTACTCTTTAGGCATGACAATGCCGTGTCATTACGAGTGAAAATTCATTAATTTAATCCGAAACTCCATGTCTCTTTTTTCTACCTCTGTAGTTCACCTTAGGTATAGGTGACTCCAGGTGATTTGATAGCAAAATGCAGTCAAAAGCAAAATTTAGCCACAACCTTTACATTTGATTGGCTGAAATGATTGAGTATCATTATCGGTATTTCTAATGTTGGTAATTGTATTACACCATTGGAAGTATTTCAACCTTTGCATAGTTAAGCATTTTTACCTGTTTACAATTGGACATACTATAAGTTATATTCTTTCTCTTTTTCTCTTAACACTCACACATACCCATGTACACACCTGCACACCCACACACATGATTTAAGTGATTTAATAGAATTATATTTGAAATAAAAATAACCTGAAAGTGTATTTTAAGTGAAAAAAAGATTCTAATATATGATATTATTTAGTAAAATTTGACACATTTTACATATCTATGTTAAAGCATCTGAAAGAGCCTTCACAGAGATTTTTACAGAAAGTTGTTTATGAATGAGCATGGTATGTGTATGCTTTACATTATTTTTTCTTGTCCATGTTGTCTATTGTTTTAGTGATATAATAAAAAATTAAACAAAATAAAAGAGACAAATAACTAAAGAACATGATGTTTTAAAAAGTTTGACTTTACCCCTTTTTATTTCTCAACTGAAAATGTATCTCCTGACCAACCTAACTGTTAGGCCTGTAAGACACTGTTTTCAGAAGACAGAGCATTATTTGTTAATAAGAATGGACAAATACTTAGGTACATCCAAATTTTAGTGTTGAAACTTAGGGTTCTTTGCAATATTTCACTTTTGTGATTTTATCAGGTTATCAATGAAGGAAATCATAGTATTAATGAAAAACAAAATGAGTAAATGTTAGCATCAGAAAATTATTGAGGTTTTTTTTTCCTTTGGATAGAATAATTCTTTTTTGAGTAACAATGTTTGGTATACTCAAAAGGTATGTTTGGGGCACTAAAAATGGCCAAAATAGGAAAGAGAAAAAATACCGATTGAGGAAAAATACAGATATGAATCTATATTTGGGGAAGAACTATAAGTAAGATATATAATCACATTATATTAAGAAATAAAAGCCATAATAAAAGAAAGAATGCCAAACTTTAAATCTGAAATCGTACGTCACTATTAAATCTAAAGAGTAATAATGCTCTGGTACTTACCAAAAGCTAAAAAGTAAACAAGTAGAGCTATGGTCACTGCCAGGATCACTACCCCTGCGACGACAATGAAACATACGACATATGGATTCAGAAATCTTGAAGTCGATGGTACACGTGCTGGCCTTACGAGAGAGAGAGAGATCAAAGAAAGTCATTCATTTCACTGATTTCAGCCATCATTTTAGTGCTCACGATTGTCTTCTGTCTTTCACGATCTCCTATCTGGCACATGACTCTAGCCATAGAAACATATTCCTAGAAATGAAACTGAACTTAACAGGGTTGTCCTTAATGGTTTTTTTTTTCAAGCTTTTTTTTTTTCCCCAGCACAAAATGATTGAAGTTCAATTAGTCTGACGGAAGAAGGAAGTCTGACTTATGGTTTGGAATTACTTTCCCTTCTGCCAATTGATAACGTTTCCAAGAATAACAACAAATCATTCTCTGTTCTACTGCAATGTCTTCCAAACTTCAATGCTGGACACTACGGTAGTAATCATCCTTGCTTGGGCACCATCCCCAGGGCTGTACTGAAGAGAGATCATTTGAGTGGGAAGAAGTGTTGAGGAAGATGAAGCAGGGGTGGGGCAGTAAGGGGGTCAGGACAGTAGCATTTCTCATTGCAAGATTCCCCATATTATTAAAAATTGGCAGAGGCATAGAGAATCAGGGAGAATAGCAAGCACCTGAAATGAATTAAAACTGCTCCAACAGCCAATGATTTATTTGATTTATCATATTTTCTCCATGAATTTGTACTAATATATAGTCACACACACTCACACTGGGAAAGTCACCAGAGGAGCTGGGTGTGAATTCCAGTTTTACCCTTTGTTTGCTTGGAGGTCATATTGTCATTTATCTGAGATTTTCTTTATCTGAAAAATAGGAATAATAATACTTACCAAAAAAGGTTGTTTTGAAGATTAAGTGGGGTCATGTTATGTGTTATAAAGTATATATTTCTAGTTCAGTAGGTTATCCAACTTGGCTGTGAACACCTTGAAGGTAAAGATACTATTCATGCCTATGCTTAACATAGGCAAAGTGTTTAACACTTTGCAGAATGCTTGGGTTATACAGGTGTTTTGTAAATACTTATGGTATTTATAAATATTTATTGCCTATGTTAATTCTTGACATATTTCAGATTTAAAAGCCTCAATAGAGCTGAGAAGCAGTTATATTTAGGCATATTCTAATTTTTATATTTTTCTATTTTGTTTTGTCAACATTCTGGTACAAGTGAGAAGGTTACATTCTGAGGGTCAGTGCTGTGGGACACATTTCACTGCAGTGTCGTCTGGTATTGTTTGGGCTCTACCCAACTCACAGGCCTATAAAAGGGCACCTCTTGATATTTTGTATTGTGTCACTTGCACATTGTACGCTGTGGCACTGGAACTAGTAACATTTCAGAAGATTGTTGGAAGCAGACATAGATTTGCCAGTTTTCCATTTTGTTGAATAAACACAGAACACTTTATAAAAATTGATCCTGCTCAAGCATGATCACTTTTAAAAAGAGCATTTAAATATATAACATACGAAGAAAATAACCTCAGAACAATTTATTAAATGCTATAACTTTATGATGTCTTTTTGCTATATTTGTCTTATTTGTTCATTTTGCTATACTAATGAAAACTGGCTTTCACTGACATGGGTTGAGAGTCCAGTGTTCAGCAACCACTATTGTAGTAATTTTCTGGTTGAAAACTGTCACTTTGACATTTGTTTACTATTTGAGTTTCAGTTTACCCATTTGTTACCTCCTGGGGTTATTGTGCCTGTTACATGCAATCACAAACGCATAGTGTTTGGTATTTGTGATTTCAGTAATTAATAGTGGCTGCTGAGTAGGGAAAGAGTCAAAAAGGGACAGAGTTGGAGGCAAATGTAACTCCAAAGGCTAAACAAATCTCGAATTGTTCCTTTCTGCAACAATTAGGGATTGATTATGTTTCCAGAGATGAGCTGATATGTCAGGATCTGCAAGCTTGGAGTGAGAAGAACTGTAAACAGGGATTAAGATGGAGGCTAAAATCTCCAAAAAATGAAATCAAAAGACTAGAGTCAATATATGCTTTAACTTGGATGAGCCTCCCACAGGGATGACATTACAGCCAATTTTGCTTTCAGTTCATGAAAAACGTCTTGAACTCAATAACTGAAAAGCGCCATGAGACATATGATTCAACAAAGGGTGTGGAGCCGAAATTACCTTACTTTCACAAGCCATAACTAATTACATAAGAATGAATTGTTCCGCCCTGTAGAAACAACTGAAGAAATAGCATGTTTCAACTTTCAATAGCGTGTTCAACTTATAGTTGAACCTCTGAACGTTGCTAACACAAACTAAATTGTGCACAGTATTTACTCTATGTTTGTAAATACTGAATTTGTTTGTAAATACTGAATATGTTTGTAAATACTGAATTTTAATTCATAATGCAATGGAAATATGTGAAACAAAATATTTTGCTTTTAAAGCAGGGTCTTGATCAGAGAGATTTTTAGTGCTTGCATTTAAACAGCAAAGCAGATATTCATTTGTGACCCATTTACCCAGTTTCCCTCTCACTCTTTCTCTTTTATATTGACTTGAAAAAAATTGCATGCGGGTGGAAAATTTATCTTTTCATACTTTATTGTGAAAGTCTATCTGTCAGGCATTGTACATCTACATTGTCAGTCTTCACGATCTTTTCGTAGCCTTATAAATTCTGTATTATGATTGCATTGTAAACATAGGAAAGGTGAGGCTCAGAGAGTGAATAACTTATGTTTATTCAGGAGTGACAGAGCTGGAAACAGAAACCAGGTAAATTTGAATAAAGAGGCATGAACTTCCGCTCACATACACTTCGTCCCTAAGTACATTGCTTCACATTACAGAGAATGGAAAAGCTTTGGGTTTCATGTCTCTCCTGACCTCACTTGGGGGGAAGCAAAGGGAATCACCATCTATTAATAATAATATTTCTCAAGATAGATCTTGAGCCCAGACCTCTCTCTTTGAGCTGCACATCATCATTTCCAATTACTAATTGAACGTGTTATGGGTGCTTTACAACCACCTTAAATAGAAAAGTTCAAAACTGAACTTGATATTTTTTCTCCCATTGGACTGTAGTGTTTGAGGATATGCCCAGGGTTGTATTAAAGAATTTTTCTACAAGACATTTTTTCCAATTAAAACACGATCATTTCTTAATTTTTTTGAAATTTCCTTTGTTCTAATATCAGCCATGTCTTTCAAATGAAGGAACTGAGATATGAAAGATTTATTTAATTGATTTTAAACTTCTAAGCACAGTGTTTAATTCCTACATCATAAAGCACTTCTAAGGGGATGGGAAAGACTAGAGGTAGGAGATGTGGATTCAAGTACTCTGTCAAATATAAGCTATGTGATCTCACATTAATCATAATTATTTTAAGCTTCAGATTTCAAAAAAATTTAAATGATAAAGACAATACCTTCCTCATAATTTGATTTTTTAAAAAATCAAATAAAACAGTGTATATACCAATGGTTTGTAAACTGGAATTTAAGGTATTATTATAGAGGCAACTGAAGTATAACAACAAGATTCCTAGAACTGAAGATTTTTCTGCCAGTAACTGTTGTGTGAGCTTGGATGAGTCCTTTTAATATTGCGGAATCTTAGTTCCCCTGTGACATGTTGGTAATAACAACAGTTTTTGTACAGTATATTTTGTGAGAATTAGAGCAGATGACATGCATGCTGTATAAATTATAAAGGGCTAAATAACCATAAAAAACTTTTGAGAAAAATAAATTTTTAATTGATTAATTTATTACTATATATTTTAGCTTATACTATCAAGAGAAAAAAACGCATTTATTTAAAATATTCAGTATTACCTGTTTACTGATTTACCTATTTCACTTTTTCTCCGCACTTTTTATCTTGCTCTATATCGTTCTTATTACACAGGTAACTTTATAGTAAAGAAGAGGAATGTGTCAACACTTACCTTCATTGAGGTACTTTTGGAGTAGGAGAGTCAATACTAGTTTTCTACTCTTCTGGAGTAATTAATTTATTAACTCTCTAGACTGGCTGTGCAAGAAATGCTCAAAGGAATTCTAAACATGGGAATGAAAGGTCGGTACTCACCTATCATAAAAATACATGAAAGTATAAAACTCACTTGTCTTATAAAACAATTAAAGAAATGAGAAATAGAAAGAAACAAAATGGCAATATGACAGAACTCCACCAAACCATGGGTCTTATGAAACAATTACAGAAATGACAGAGAAAGAAATAAAATGGCTGCATGACAGAACTCCATCAACTATATGCTGCTTACAAAAAACTTACTTTACTGATAAAGGCACTAATAGACTAAAGGTAAAGGTATAGAAAAAATATATTCCACACAAATGAAAACCAAAAGAGAGTAGAAGTAGCTATATTTATATCAGATAAAACAGAGTTTAAATCAACAATAGTAAAAAAAAAAAAAAAGACAAAGAAAGTTATATAATGATAACAGAATCGACTCAACAAGAAGATATAACAATCCTAAATATATATATATCCAACAGTAGAGCACCAATATGCATAAAACAAATATTACCACACTTAAGAAAAGAGATAGGAATACAATAACGATGGAGAACTTCAACACCCCCTCTGACGGTACTAGACAGATCATCAAGACAGAAAATCAACAAAGAAACAATGGACTTAAATTGTATTTAGACCAAATGGACCTAATAGACATTTACAGGAAATTCTGCCTAACTATCACAGAATATATATTCTCATCAGTACATGGAACATTCTCCAAGATAGATCATATATTAAGTCACAAAACAAGTCTGAAGAAACTTTAAGAAATCATCGTATCAAGTATCTTCTCAAATTACAATGGTCTAAAACTAGAAATCAATACCGGGAGGAACTCTTAAAACTATAAAAAAACATGAAACAAAAAAACGAACAACAAGAAAAAAAAAAAAAAAAAAAAAACCAACATGCTCCTGAATGATCTCTGGGTCAGTAACAAAATAGAGAGGGAATTAAAAAAAATTTGAAATGAATGAAAATGGGGACAAAATATACTAAACCCTCTAAAATAT